TTTTTTTCCAAAAGCCCCTGTGCCCCGTGCAAAGCACGGCCTCAACGGGATTTGTGTAGGTGGAGGATCAAGGGACAAAGACCTTCTGATGTGCGAGGAAACATCGGAGAGCTTCGAGCTGAACTTCACGGCAGAGGAGCTCGCGGCCGTGGAGCTCACAGACCGCCTCGGCACGTTAGAGGCCGGTAATTCCCGACACTACCGTCCCTTTCGGCAGAGTGCATCAAAACCAAAACCACCACCACCACCACCACCACCACCACCGTTATGGCCATCGTCACGATCTGTGGCATCATCATCGTCATCATCACCATCAGTCGCCTCATCATCATCATCATCATCATCACCATCATCATCACCACCATCATCATCATCATCCTCATCCTCCTCATCCCCATCGTGAACTCATCACCTTTCTCCTGCCATGCATAGCTTGGTGCGCAAGGGAGTCCTACAGCTTTTCCCGCGCGTTCGGCCAAAGGTTCAATGTGGAGCCGTGATCGCGGGTGCCAGCTCGCCGTTTGGCAGCTCCCTCTCCGGGGCTATGGTCACGGCGGTGGCTGGGGAGAGTACCAGCCAGATGTCCCCGACGGACACAAAGGACCTTGTGGAGCAACTCGTTAAGAAGGGCGGAGTGCAGCTTCGATTCCGGCGTGGAGTGGACCCAAGCTTCTGCACGGGGAACATCTGCGAGGACCGCACCGTCATCGAAGGCTCCGACACCTGGACCCGATGCGGGATCTTCATGAACGCATGCGGCGGCTACTGTTGTTGCCCGGCGGGCACCGAGTACTCTGGCTCCTTTTTGGGAAACCGCTGCACCACTTGCGGAGCGATCCTGAGCTGACATGGAGCACGGACCAGTGGAACGGCAGCAGAAAAGACCTACTTTCCAGCTGCTGCGGTGTCAGACAAGATTTCGTCCCAAAGTGATACCCCTCTCCAGCTCGCGACATCTTGCTTGAAAGCTTTCTCTCCCGTCCCTCTTGCCTCCGACTCTCGCTCTCGCTCTCGCTCTCGCTCTCGCTCTCGCTCGCTCGCTTTCTCTCTCTCTCTCTCTCTCTCTCTCTCCCTCTCTCCCTCCCTCCCTCCCTCCCTCCCTCCCTCTCTCTTTCTTTCTCTTTTTCGAATGACCCGCAGCACAACCATGGAGACGTCTTTTTGGCCACTAGTTTTGGCGTGCAATCATCTTGCCATGGACTCACGATGCATCCGAGCAGATCCATGATGGCAGCCTTGCCAACACCGACCAGCAAACATTCACACATAGGCCAACCGAATGCGCGTGATTCTTTAATCTTTCCGGCTGGTTGGATGAATCTGCTCTACCCAGAGCCCATATGTGTATCAGACACTTGTCGTTCCCCCAACTGCACGACTTCGCACTGAACACATGGCGCTAGCATTCAGCACTTCTCCTTGAGGCTCCTTGGCTTTCGCAACAAACATATCCAACGACTTAACCGTAGCACCGGTGCGCAGGAGCGATCCGAGAAGCGGATGACGAGGCGACGAGGCAGTGCGCGCCGCGCTGCTTCGGAGCTTTGCCCATGCCGCTCGGCTGTCAGTGAGGCGCCAGAGATGCTGCGGAGATCTGTAGATAGATGAAACCAGCGCCCTTCAGCATAATGCTGCAGAGCATAGGACCTCAGGGCCTCAGGACAGGTCTTCTTGACTTCAAGCTGTGATCAGGCCGCAGGGCCTCCGTGAATGCGGAAGTGCAGTGGCTTGCAAGTGCTGTTCTGTCTCCTGGGGCTCGGCATCTTGGCTTGTCCAAGGGTTCTTCTTGGCGAGTTTAATCGAAGACTTGTGCCGTCGAGACGAGGTCTCTTGCACCTATGGCAGAGCGGCTTTCAACTGAGTCCCGCGGCTTGGCAAGGGCATCCAGGCAGTGGACCGCAGGAGGTCACAGCTGTTGTGGCTGCCGACGCCGCGGTGGAGGAGTCGCCAGAAACTGGAATCCTGACGGCCCTGACGGCCAACCAGTGGGGTTCGGCTCCGTCAGAGGATGCCGAAGATGGCGAGTCACTGAACAGCACGGCAGCCGCAGCGCCGGAGCAAGCGGGTCACGCCAGAAATGAGGCTGTTTCGACCTGGTTCCTGCGAGAGGAAGCTTCGGACCCTCCCGGCTTCTCTGACTTCCGAGAACGGCTGCTCTCCGTCCAAAAGCGCGGGCACAGCAATCCCGAGTCCGTGAAATGGGTGGTCTTCACAGCATCCATAGGACTGGGGAACTGGATGGCAGGGCTCTCCTCGGCACTTCTGGTCGCAGCGCTGACTGGCAGGGCTTTCGCATGGATCCCAGCTTCGATGCGGGATGTCTGTACGTGGATGGACTCTCCCCTGTGTGAGTGGGCTAGGCATCCGGTGCAGGTGATCGCGGAGGCAGAAAAGGCTCTGGAAGCGATCGCAGCAAATCCGAAGGCGAAGCCGAGGAGCAAGTCCGTCGAAGTGCTTTCAATCGATTGGAAGGGCTGCAAGTACGAGAAGCTCCGCTGCATGCCAATCACACAGAAGCCGATTTTGCTTTTGCTGTCTGGAGTCTGGGTTGGCAATGTGCTACTGGAGAACCTGGATTTCCTTCCTATTTTGCAGCAAGCCTTCCAGCGGCAGCTTGCAGCCCATGGTGCACCGCGTGGTGGACAGGAGAGAGCGGTGGGCCCAGCAGCTTTGAT